AGATTCACCTGCCAAAGCTTCCTGAGTGCTGGGATTAAAGGTGTGCGTGTACTGCCACACCCAGCCAAAGAATGTTCTTTAGAGAGCAAAAGGATCCAGTTCCAAGTCACACATAGCACTTCAATGTCACATGTTTTTAGTCTTATTCATGCTGGAAGACCTTTCAGTGTATCTTTCTTACCTGCCTTTGAGATTACAGGCCAGTTATTTTGTAGAATGTTTGATTATTATAAATATTTCATTCCTTATCAAACCTTCAGTTTACTCCTATTAATATGAAGCAATAATTTCCTATTTTACTGCATGAGTTAATCCATATTTGTCATCTATTTTGATAGTCCTATGTCTTCTCTTTGACTAGTGTGAATCTCTTTGACTGGCTCTTGCATCCTTTTTAAATGATCACAGAGGTCACTGAAGACATTTTCTCTCTGAGGCAAGATATTCTAGGAGGGTCTTACATATTCCCTTCCTCCCCACTGGAATTAGTGATTTCTCTAAGATGCTGCTTTGCTTTAGTGGGCAATGGTACTTAGTGCCCAAGATGGATATCTTAAGTCTGCTCAGGTTCGTTAAGGTGTTGCTATTCCTGTCCACTCGGCAACAGAGCAGGGGGCAGGATGAGCTGAAAGTCATCAGTTCTTGTTGACCTCCAGCCTCATATGCCTATTCTAGTTTTCTCCTTTTGATATTTTAATTCATTTCTCTGGCAAAATCTGCCTCCCATATCTTTAATGTGTCTACTTAGCGGACTAATCCCCCTGTTGCATAACTATTGCCCACACTCTTGTCCACCCCACAGTTCCCCTCTTTCCCCTGTTGTGGTTCTGACACCTACAGCAAGCTTGCCGCTCCTGCCTGGTGGCCCTCTTCAGCATGTGCTGGCACTATGTCGGTATGCCCCTCCACAGGAGGACACCCTTGTCACCAGGCCTGCATCTGATGCCTCATGGCAGGCTTCCCTCCATGTGAATGCAATGCTCACTGGACTCAGGCTCTGTTATCATGTGCCAGGCAACCCAGGCTCTGATGCCCTCCTTGTGCCGTCTGGGCTCTCATTCTCCATTCCATGCTGGCAGCCCATGCTGGATGCTTTCCTTACCCTATTTGGCTTCAACTTCTAATTCTGGACCTCAGACTACTTTCTACCCCAAGGCATGGGTGGCTACCTTGTTCCAGTATACGCTTATAGTTTTAGCACCTAATTATCTAGGAAGGGTAGGAAGGAAAGGGGAAAGTGTTTAAGAAAGGGAGGGGAAAAGAAGGGAGGGGAAAGTGGGGAAGATGAAGGGGAGGGAAGGGAGGAAAGGAAGAGGAACATAATTATTTTCTGATCCTCACAACAGACCTTCAAAATGAGCATTGTTGCTCCCTTGTCCACATCCGGGGAAACTGGTTCAGAAAATGAGGCTGCTTGCCCAGGGTCTGTCTCTTGACTGGTTCATAAAGAGTCTGAATCTGAACTCAGGCCCTTCTCACTTGAGTCTAGCCTCTAAAAAGAATACTTTCAAGGTATGTTTGATGTTTGGATTATCCCTAGCTGCATAAGAAGAGTGCTTTGAGATAAAGAATGTTGTTCTCCTGGAAACCTGTAGGCTATATTCATTTCATGAGGACGGTTGTTCTCCCCGTTGGCCCATTTCCCTACCTTTCTTCTGTCTGTGCACAGGTTCAATGAGAACCTGGCTTTGTTTGACTCAGTTGCTAGGGTGGGGTGACTAGGCTGAGATGCTCGTAGCCAGAGGCACTGGGCCAGCGGTCTCACTGCCTCCTCAGTGGTAGCTCTTTCCATGCAGGAGGTTCTGGAATGAGTCACCTGCCATGCTTGCCAGCCCTTGCCCTCTCCTCTCCAGCCAGCATTACCCCTCCTCCGAGAGGAGTGCTAGGACTTTTGAGATTTTAAGATGGAGAAGTAGTTGTTAATTGGATATGAGGAAGGGGAGAAAAATTTGTTTTGATACCACCTTGGACACACTAATCTTAATGCTTTCCAGAGCAAAAATTCTGAAGGCTGGCATAAAGATTTTATATACACACACATATATATATGCATACAGTGAACTTTAACTTTGTTCTGTTTTATTTTATTTATTTTTTTTATGACTGGCTTTGAGTTCCATGTAAAGGATTCCACAGGATATTCTAACAAAATGGAAGACAGGGAAGAGAATCAGCATCTATCTATGTAAAACAACAAAAGAATAATGGATAAATTTTGTGCCCCCCAAAACATCTTTGGAAGAGAAAATTGGATTTTATTTTTCGGCTATAATATATAAACATTTTATCATGAAATAAGAAATTTGGGGAAGATACTTTTAGAATTCACCCATGACCATTCCTCACCTGTGAAAAAATAGGCACAGAGAGACGTTACTTGAGGATGATGAAGGCAGCACGACTGTACGTGTGCACGTGTGTGTGTGTGGTGTATTTGCTTGCTTGAAAGTAAACACTCTTGAAAAATAAGTGCATTTGATAAGAGAAAAAAAAGCTAATGCAAGTATAATTCTGGCTGAGAAAGCTGCCCACACCAAAGCTACTTAGCTTACTTGCTTCTTGGGCTTTATTTCTGGGACCCAAAAAGTTTTCCTTGCTCAGAGACCTGTGCTGGTGAATCTTTGGAATGGGTTCTCTTTGGAGGGGATAGGTGGTAAAAGAGGCAAAGGGCAAACACTACAGTGGTAAGTGTGAGTTGGTTCAGATGAACTAGTGCTATTATTTGGTCTCTTCTTTCTGCTTGAAATAGGATTTTGCAGAAAAAATAGGTCCAGTGTGTTGACATTTGGGTTAGTGTAATTACAAGACACAACTTTTTCTGTATCATTTGCCTGTATTTGCTGTTACTTTGGGTTCGATTATTTCCTCTCCCCAAAATGTTAGATCACCCACAACTTTTTTCAGTTATTTGTCTATGTATGTGTGTATGTGTGTGTATCACAGCATATGTGTGGAAGTCAGAGGAGTTTTTTTTCTCTCTGTTCACCATGTGGGTTCCGGGGATCAAACTCAGGCCATTTCACTTGGTGGCAAGTGCCTTTACCCGCTGAGCCATCTCACTGGCCACCACTCACAGCTTTTTTTTTTTTTTTTTTTCCACTAATGCGTCAAGAAGGCCTGCCCTGCACAAGCTGACTCAATTATGTGGTTGAGAATAACTTTCAAGAAGTTGTAAGATTTATGAAATCTCATGTCATATTTTCTCTCAACTCTATTAATGTAAAGCAAATGCTGTAAAATAAAAGTTGTCCACTTATATGTTCACTTCTCATTGGCAAATTCAGAGAAACTGGAACCAAAAGAATTTTCTTGAATATTTAAAATATTTATTATTTCGGGCTGGAGAGATGGCTCGGAGGTTAAGAACACTGGTTGTTCTTGCAGTAGACCTGGGTTCGAATCCCAGCACCTACATGGCAGCTAACAACTGTCTGTAACTCCAGTTCCAGGGGATCCGACAACCTCTTCTGTCTCATACACATAAAATAAAAATAATAAAATTTTTAAAAATATTTTATTTCAATGAAGTAATTTAAAAGTTCTCAGAAATAGTTATTGATGTTTTTGAACAATATGGTGTATATTTGAATTTATTTGCTTTTTGATGTTTAGGAACCCCAAACAGAAATTATTCTAGATATTTTTCTTTATTTTTTTCTAAATATTTACTCCTGTTTCTTTGTTCAGAGTATACCATGTTCGTCTAATTATTTTTCAGTTCCTTATTTCACCCTTTTTTTACCGAGCCTGATTTCTGCAGGTTGGGTTGGGGCAGGAAAGATGGCCAAGGGACACTGAAGATGACCAAATATGGTAACCAAGACTTGGAAGCCACCAAGCTGCTCTTGCAGAGAGCACCTAAGCTGTATCTTGTCTCCTGTTGCTCAAAACAAGTTGTCTTCAGAGCACAGTAAAATCCAGAGTCCTTGGCCTTCCCATGAAGACACCAGGGCTCCCTGTGTTTTACTTAACTGACACAATGAACAAAAATACATTAAGTACCTGCTGTGCACGCCCTCTCCTCCCTCCAGTGCTCCTCCCTCCAGAAACTTATTGCTAGCACTCCTACATTTCTGGTTTTATCTGTTGGCCAGTTGATCTGCCTAATAAATTCTAACCTCATTGCATGCCCGCCCCTTTGCCAACCTGCTTAATGATCTTTATACTAAGTCCAGAAAGTATGCAGAATAGGTGTGTATGCACTTTGTAGCATGTTTTCCAATGAAAATATTAAAATGGAGAATACACGCATTGGTTTCTATAGTTATGAATTGACAATTTAGATCTGTTGCCTTTCTAAGATGGTCTCACTTCTCCAGAGAAAGTGCTGAGACCCTTTCCATATGTACACATTTTAAATTGTGTGTGTTTGTGTGTGTGTGTGTGTATGTGTGTGTGTGTGTGTGTGTGTGTCTGAACCTAGGACCTTGTGCTTGCTAAGCAAGCACTTCACCACTGACCTTCATCTCCATTCCTTTCACAGAATTGTAATAAAGTTCACAGAGTGGGGACAGAAATGTTAGCAATCAATGTTGTTGTTTATTTTCATTTTTCCTTAACCATGTCCCGCCTTTTTATTAATTAAGAACATTGATGTGGAGATGAAATGATTCCCTCTATTTTTATCTTCAAACGATCTCTATTTGCTGCTTCTACACACTGCTAGATTTATTCCAGCCTCTTATACTAGGGTCACAGTTTAGCAGCAGCTTGGAGCCAAGTGCCCCACAGCTGAAATGACCACACCTCTGCAGTGGCATTTTCCCAGGCCATTCCTGCCTCTCATAATGAGCCAGCCAGGGGGCAAGTTTGTATCTCATTACAACAGAGCCTTGTGTGCAGCCTGGTGTATAATAGATGGCAGCATCACAATGGCCCTCTCTCTGAAAGCTCTTCTAGCACAGTGCCATTTCTTTATTTTTAGTCTAATGGTTTTGCCTTTTTCTCACTCTCTCACTCTCTCCCTTTCCTTTTAAATCCAATAATGTCAACAATGAAAGAAACCAAGGAGCTCCAGAGTTTTGCAGTTTTAAAAAGACTGGATCTCGGAAAGATTTTCACAAGACTCTTCAGAAACAGACGTTCGAGTCAGAAACCTTGGAGTGCGGTGAACCCGCCACTCAGGTATTTCCAATCAACAAACATGATTACCACATTACAGGCTGCTCTGCCCAGGGCATACTGTCAGTTTTTAAAACTAAAATAAAAGTAAGATTTACAGAATATTTGTGTAGGAGGAACTCTACCATCTGAGTCAGTGATGATGTTTTTCTCAGACAGCTTTATATCTGCAAAAGTCAGATCAAATGACGACCCAAAAATGCAATAATTAAAATGGAAAAAGAAAAGTGGAGATGCTATGGTTGGGGGGAGGGAGAAACAGTGGGCCCTTCCCTATACAGTGGGGGATACTTTCTGTGGATAGCACCCCTCAAGCAGAGGGCAGGGTGGGTCAGGACTGTTGGACTGCCTGCATTTCCTAGGCACCATCATTAACCTCTCTGGGCTTCAGTTTCTTTCCCTGGAAACCAAGGTTGATACTACTTAGTAACTCCTGAGGTTATCTGAGCATTAGGTAAGTCCATATGTGTAAAGATTTAGAACAGTGCCAATTATACTTAATACCCAATAAATGCTGGCTACTGTCATTGCTGTTATTATCATAACATGATTGCAGTTTAGAATTCAGTGCTGTGCACACCCATGTCCATAGCAGCATATGACTGCCAAAAGATGAAGCAACCCAAGTGTCCACTGTGGAAGAGTGGAGAAAACCAAAGCGTGGTTGCCAGGTGCTTGGGAAAGAATGAGGAGTTGTTGTTAGATAGGTACAGAGTTTTGGAAGATGAAAAGAATCATAGAGGGAGCTGGAGAGATAGCTCAGCAGTTAAGAGCCTTGACTGCCCTTGCAGAGGACCTGGGTTCAGTTCTCAACACCCACATGGCAGCTAACAACTGTTCATAACTCCAGTTCTAGGGACTCTGACACCTCTTTTGGCCTCTGCTGGCATTGCATGACCCTGGTGCACTTAGATACATGCAGGTAAAACACTCATACACATAAAAATAAATAAATAAACTTTTAGAAAGAATCATGGAGGACTGTGGCAATAGTTGTACTACATTGTGAATGTACTTAACTACACCAAAAGATGTTAAGATGATAAATTCTGTGTTCATGTATTTTATCACAATAACGTTTTTAAACTCAATGTTCTAATCCAGCCTGATCATGTTATAGGTAACAAAAATGAAATAGGAAAATTTGCTCAAATTTTCACAGAATTTCTAAGTAATTGTAGTTTTCAGCTTTCAGGTGTCTTTATAGCACAAACTTATCACCATATTGATCATAATTCGAGCTTTTAAAATTATGCTTTTCAAACAACATGGACCCTAAGGCCAAGGCAGCTGCTTAGTATGAGCTCTGCAGAGGAACCCACCATCAGTTCTGGTGCTAAATGTGGCAACCCCACTGAGGGATGGCATACCTGTATCCCGTACTCCATGGGAGAGTCAGGCATTTTTATCATAGATAATTTTTAGGCCTACGGTAATGAACAACTAAACTGCGCCTTATATTAGTGTAACAAAGCCCTAGTAGGCATTTCAACAGAAGAAATTCAACTTTGGGAATTGATTAAACAGGTTTTGGAGCACTGAGGGAACCAAACAAGAAAAACCAGGGTTATACAGAATAATGACTGTAGGAAACAGTGTAGCATCTAGGCCTAGGACAGTGGTTCTCAGAATCCCCTGGAGAGCTCTTTGAACACTCCGCTGCTGGGCTCCACCTGTCAGTTTCTGAGTCAGTGGGGCTGAGGATTTGCTTTTCTAATGAACACTTCCCAAGTGATGCTTATGCTGTCCATCCCAAGACTACAGTTTGAGGACTACGGGTCTAGAGAAGAGATTGCAGATCTCAGAACCTAGAATCTTGGAAGAGGAGCCTCAGAGTGAAGACTAGAATTGCTGAGAAGGGGGCACTGCCAAGCTGGTGATGTCTTGGATCCCAGAGGACCTCATGGAGTCTGTACTCAGAGGTCCTAGAGGGAAGAGTTTCCTTGCCAGTGCTGCTACTACCTCCAAGGAGGTAAAATGAAGATGGTTCCTCCTCAGACCTCCAGCTCCACAACAGCACCCCCATCCACTGACCCTAAAGTGAGCAGCAGGCAAGGCAAAAATAGGATAACTGAGCCACCCAGCACCATAGAACAGTAAAAACCCAAATGATTTGACTCCATGGTAAAGATGTACTTTATGAAAATTAGATCCTTTCATAGATAATGTTTTATATCCTTTTTCATAATAACAGTATACTGTGATTATATTTCTCTTCCAATAAAGACATTTTAATGGTTGCCGATCTCTATGAAATCGAGGCCAACTTGGTCTATATAGCAAATTCCAGGCCAGCTGGGGCTACAGGGAAACCCATCTTTAAAAAATAAAAAGAAAGCATTTTAAAGACTTTTGACATATGTATAACTTGAGATTCTTTTAAAGAAATTTGAAGAGTTGGCTCAGTTGGTAAAATGCTTGTCTTGAAAGCATGAAGACCTGCATTTTCTCACCAGAACCCGTGTAAAGTGCTGAGTGTGGTGGTATGCACTTGTGTTCCCAGCGCTGGAGAGACAGAAACAGAGGCTTACTTGCTAGTAAGCCAGTGTAGTCTAATTGGTGAGTTCCAGGCTGTTGAGAAACCCTATCTCAAAGGAGGTAGATGGTGTTGCTAGGGATGATATCAAGGCTATCCTCTGGCTTCCACATGCATGCACATACATTGTTCACATACATACATACATACATACATACATACATATATACACACATGCATAAAAGAGAATGACATTAGGGAAATTAAGCTCACTTTCCCCAAATCCTTATACATTCTAAGAGAAACAAAATAATTAATAGTTGAAATGTTAATATTGATTATTGATAACACATTTAGTGTAGGTAAAATTTGTAATTTAGTATAACAATTTAATGGGGTAGACATATCACAAGCATGAAATTGTGCAGTAATATGTCCATTTCGTAGATCTGAGAATAATATAAATTTTACAGATATTTGCTACTGATCCTTCTATAATTTTTGCAACAGTTGTGGATTTCAGTTATTTATTCTTTGACAAGTCTCCAGTTAGGCACACAGTTCTCAATTATAGATATTCCTAGTGGATAATCTGTGTGACTGATTTAAGATCACTTTTTCTAGCACATTGCCACTGTCAGCTACTGCTTAATAGCCAATACTTTTCTTTTTTCCATTTTAACCATTCCTAAAGTCCTATAGGCAAGCATACCCTAATCCCACACCTCTGTATTTGTAAACTTAACACTCAGCTTTGGAATGCACATACAGTTTTTTTGGAAGGCTTCTTGGGGTTCATCTTATTTTCTAGTCTCAAAACCCAAGTTCTAAAGTTGATTAGAAAAAGGTCCCTCTGTTCTCAGTCCAGTTCTTTTATATTGCACCTTGTCCAAACTCTGTTTTGCTCCAGCCTGAGACGTGACTATAGTTCCTAAGAGACTTGGCCATCTCCAAAAACGAACACTCCAACAACTACTAGGAACACAGTGCTGTTTTCAAACCCTTGCTCGGGACTGCTTTATCTATCTGAGGAGTAATAACCTGCTTCCAGGGAGGAAAGAGACATCTCACTTCAAGACAGTCTGTCTTGTCACACCCCTGGTTTGTTCAGAAAACTTGAGGCCTGAGATTCTGTACACCTAGTTGGAGCAGTCTCGAAACATCCCTAAGCCTAGTTCTCATTTGTGGTCCTCAACCTTCACAAAGGCGCACTGTCTTCTCTCACAGACAGGCCCTCGTCGCTTAAACGTGCTGTGTGATGTGTCTGGGAAGGGTCCACTTACTGCCTGTGACTTTGACCTCCGAAGCCTGCAGCCTGATCAGCGGCTGGAAAACCTGCTGCAGCTTGTGAGTACAGAGGACTTCGAGAAGGAGAAGGAGGAGGCCCGCAGGACCAATCGGCAAGCCGAGCTCTTTGCCCTGTATCCATCTGTGGACGAGGTGAGTGCAAGTCTCCATGGAGGGGGCCATATCAGTGAAAACAGAGGGTCTCAAGATTTTTCTTTTTGCTTGTGTCTTAGCAGAGCCAATTAAAAATCGTTATATTGATGGGATTCTGTTAACTAGGTTTTTAATAGTACTTTAATCCTTAAAATATTTCAAATGTCTGCATATAGTAATCTCACTCAGAACCAACCATGCAGTTACTTGGGGATATGTTTCATATGTAATCCATCAAAAATATATATTACTTAAAGGTTGATGCTCTTTTATAAAATATTTTATTTTTTTTATTTTGTGTGTATAAGTTTATTGCCTACATATAGGTAGGTGCATCCATGTGTGCAGTGTCCATGGAAGTCAGAAGAGGGTGTTGGATCCCCTGGAACTGGAGTTATGCACGGTTGTTAGCCACTGTGTGGGTGCTGGGAATCAAACCCAGGTACTCTGCGAGAGCAATCAGTGCTCTTAACCACTGAGCCATCTCTCCAGCCCAAAACTTGATGCTACTTAATGCATTTGGCTAAGATTTTTTTTCCAGTGGTCCCATTGAGCAAGTAGAGACTTTGGACATGTTCTGGGCAGAGATAATCACAGTCATGTTCTCAGTGTGCAAAGTTTTGGAATCCTGTTTGCCCACCTCTTTATATACTGAAGTTGACCCAGAACAATTTAGACTTGGCCTGCAGTCACTTGCTGGAGCACTTTGCATGGGATGAGGGATGGCTATGAGGTTTTCAGCCGTTGCTTCTGCTTGTCAGGTGGGCTCTCTACACCTCCAGGTCTTGCCAGAACACATGGCTGCTCTATCTCTGCTGTCTAAGTTTTGTTAAAAGTTCAGTTGCAAAAACTAAGATTTGGAGACTGTTGAGATGGCACAGTGGAAAAAAGCACTTGCCTTGCAACCTGAGTTTGATCCCTGGAACTCCACAAAGCTGTCATCTGACCTCTGCAGGTTCAAGGTGGCACATGATATCACATATCATGCACATGCTCACACACAAATAATAAAAATAAATGTGTAAGATTTGGGAGACTTTTGCAAAAAAGATAACACACTTATTTATGGCTATAAATATTTGAAATTTGGTCCTCAGATCAAGCAAGACCATCAGAAAACCTGATCCTCGCCCGTGTGTAGCTGCCAGTGGTGTCACTTGTTTGATGGTTCCCCCTTGATGCAGGAAAGAGGTTTCCTCACTGGTTAGGAAAGAGGACAACAGAAGAAACAGCAGGCCTGAGATGTGGCATTGTGTCCACTGTGGGGAGGATAAGGGGAAAATGCCCCTCACACCCTTAGTGTCCATGGTGTCTTGCTGAGCGCCACGTTTCTGTCCACACTACCAAACACAGCACCTCGTATCTGGTGTCCTGCAGTTGCTCCCCAATCCTTTTCTTTCTTAGTTTTTTTGGTCTCTTTGAGATAGGGTCTCCTTGTAGCCCCAGCTGGCCTGGAACTTGCTCTGTAGACTGGTCTCACAGAGATCTGCTGGCCTCTGCTGGGATTAAAGGTGTGTACCAGCCACCTTTCTTTTCTTATCCTTACTTTCCAACCATCTTGGTTTTTCTCATCTGCTTATCTTAGTTGCACTTTTGTCAGAAGCCTCAAATCCTCTGAAGCAAATGAAAAATAAGTATCTTGGGTCCAGTGAGATGGCTCAGCACGTAAAGGAGCTTGCCAACAAAACTGATGACCTGAGTTCAGTCCCTGGAATCCATGGGATAGAAAAAGAGAACCAACTCCTGAAAGTGGTTCTCAGACCTCCCCACCCCTGTCCACCCCCAACATAGACAAAATAGATAAATAAGGGACTGGAGAAATGATTCCATGGTTAAAAGCACGGGTTGTTCTTGCAGAAGACTCGAATACAAATCCCAGCACCCACATGGTAACTAACAACTGTCCATAACTCCAGTTCTAGGAGATCTGACACCCTCTTCTGTCCTCCGTGGGCACTGCATGACCTGGGTGCACTTGCACACATGCAAGCAATACGCTCATACACATAAAATAAAAATAAATAAATAAAATAAAAAACTTTTAAATAGAAAAATGAAAAATAAACAAAATATAATCTGATACAGTTAAAAAAAAGATTGCTTGAGCTGGGTGTAGTAGCACATTAAAGAATCCCAGCACTTGGGAGGCAGAGGCAGGCGGATCTCTATGAGTTCAAGGCCAGCCTGGTCTCCATAGCGAGTTCCAGACCAGCTGGGGCTACTGAAAAACCCTATCTCAAAAAGACCAAAAAAATTTTCTTCATTAAGTAAGTAAATTAATAAAAATCTTGGAACTGGGAAGACAGCTCAGTGGGTAAAGTGCTTGCTGCACAGGCATAAGGACCTGAGTTTGGATCCCAAACACATACAGAAAATCTGACACGGTGGTGCATCTGTAACCCCAGCCACAGGGGCCAGTAGATCTCAAGGGCTCTGTCAATCTATCAGAAACAGTGAGCTCCAGGTTCAATGAGAGACCCTGACTCAAAAATAAGGCAGAAAGCACCATGATGGAGGGGTGAGACAATGCAAGAGATAAATAATGCCTAGCTAGTTTTAAAAAACCAGAGGGAACCATATTACTCTAACAACCTACTGACAAATTATACATAGCAGATCAAGAAATATAGGTCTAGGTAAGGTTTATCTGGGAACAATTTGCCTTTTCCCAAGATTTATCTACATGGCACACAGTAATTAAAAGTACCAAATGGTGGAACTAACCTTCTTGGATGTTGAACAGCCACACTTTGAGGCCTATACTAATTTGGTCAGAGGGACATGAAAGACAGTTTTTGCTCCTTGCCCTCCTAGGTCACCTAATTCCAGGGTACTATGAGCATCACTCAAAATATCCTGTAATTGTGGCAGGTCACCTGTCTTCTTGATCAAGGAGGCCAAGGACACCCCACCAGATGGACAGGAACCAGTGTCCAGTCTACAAAGATGAGGATCAACACAGAGGAAACATTTCCTCCATGCTTCCAACCGAAGCCAGCCATGGTTGAGTAGGACCTTTGTCTTATCTTCACTTAGGTGGAACTGGTAAAAGAAAGTAGCCAGGGGCTCCTCCCAAGCCCATGTGACCCCTGAGGAACAGATCCTCAAAC